GTTGTTTTGGGTATTGTTGTTTACTCTCAGAAGCTAATATGTCATTTATTAACTGCAGTGACAGAGAAGACTGGAGACCTTGAAGACCTGTGCTTTGAGTCTCTCTGTGACTTTGACTTTGGACAAGAGCAATACCCCTCTATTCACCCACCTGTTAGGGGACGGGTCCCATGCAGCCAGGTCAGGAACCCACATAGGTAACAGAACCTACATAGATAACGTCTAAGCTGAGATTTCAGTGAAAAATAGTTCATTAAACAAAAACAGGGGCATGGGGGTACCTGGGTAAAAGCAGCTTCAGTTTAAATGAGGACTGATTCTGTGTGTACATCCAAGGGGACAGAGTGAGCAATGAGTCTGAGGTAGGAAGGAAGCTGGGAAGGCCCAGGTAACAGAGGATATAGCCTCACAGAAACAGCTGAGGAATCTGATCCTCACCCTGAAGAATGTGAAGCAGGACCAGGGACAAAAAGTCATCCTTATCAAATCTATTAGATAAATGAGATCAGAGCCCTTTTAAAAAATTACTCTTTTAAATTATATATTATAGAATTTTGGGGGGTATTTGTTTACTACCTTAAACATTTGTAAAATTATTTTTGTTTCATTCTGTGTCTTTACCACACTTTTTATTCAACAACTTTCATATTCCTAGTGGTTTACCTGTCCATAACTATTTTTTCAGGAAGTTTTGTGGTGACTGCAGTAGATACTACAAGTACCTTGCTCTCATGCAGTCCCTAGAACCAACCAGGGCACTGACCTCCTGAAGTCAGTACCCTCCAGTCTAAAGTTTCCTACAACTTTCTGTCTCAGTTCCTTCCTGGCCCAGGGAATATGGGCCATAGTTGGGGAATGCTGGACATTTCCGAGAGTTAAAGTCCTGGAACCATCCTCCATGATGAGTGACAGGAGGGGTACTCCTCTAGCAGCCTTGTCACCTCTGAGGGGAACGATTCTGGGGTGTGTTATACCCAGGTTCTCAGAGGACCTGCAGGAGATGAAGCCCAAGTTGCTCACTGTGGTCACGAATGCATGCTTTTCTGTCTTCTCCCTCTTCTTTGTCTAAGCTCTCCACTCCCACACAGCAGCTTCTGAGATCACTCCCTAAATAAACCACCTGCACCTACATCATTGTATCAGCATTCACTTTGGGGGAAATCCAAACTAGGAGAGTCAAGAGAATACGAATCCTCATGTAACTAAGAATCTCTATTTGGATGTCACAAAGAAGGGCAAGTTAGCTAGGTTATAGAATTTTGGATTGCCCTCAGGATTTGGAGGATTGTCTTCCTATCTGCTTTTCTGGTTGGTCCCGACTCTTACAGCCACATGATGTCTCTGCAATGGGATATGCTGTTCTAATGTTTGACATTGATGTTATGGAAAAGTTTCTAGAAAACTTGTTTTTGATTAAATATTTGTAGTATCATTTTCATGTGAAAATTGAAAATTTCATGAAGCTACGTGTAGACAGCAAAATGTTTTTAGTATCTGTGTCTGGTGTTTGCAGCACCCATTTAAGACAATGGAGATGCTGCTTCCATGTCTAAGGAATGATGTCTACTACTCGTCTTCTCTTCCAATTTTCCTGGAACCATTTTTGCTGACCCCCCCCCATTTCCGTCTTCTGCATTACCGTCTCCACACTGTCAGCTTTCTTCCTTGGTTTGTTCTTCTCCATATTCTCACAGATTCTCTACAATAATGAATAAGTTTCCGATGCTTTTGCTCTTTCCTGATTACCACACAACACTAATTCTGCCATTGCTTTCTTGGTCTCATTAGAACAGTTCCTTACCCCATCCACAAGCTTTATTTTTGCTTGACCTTCAGTCCAAACCATGTTCAGCCATTCCACGGTTCAACTATCTGATCCTTCACTGTCCTAATTTCTTCTTGAATTTCCTCAAGGACAAAAGTGTATCTTCTGGAAATTTGACTTTAGTTCTTTATTAATAATCTTAAAAGTTATACCTTCCTTCCGTCTCCTGAGTTATGCTTTTCTTGGTTTGTGCATTAGGATCTTTGTAGGAGGCTATGCTGCTTCAATTAGGTCTATGCATTATTACACAGGTGGGATGAGCTCTCTTGGTTCCCTTCATTACCCACGGACGCATATGTTCTTAGAATCTTACCCTGAGCACGGTGAGGCCACTTATATCCCAAGTTGATCAACCTTTCAGAATAGTCATTGTCATGGGAAGGAAATTTTTGTTTCTTTTCCTACAGCCACGTGATGTCTCTGTGCCCTGCCCGACTCTCACACTAACCCTTACCATATCCTGAAGGGCCCCCGACACCTTGTCAACTTTCTGCCAAACTGAAACCTAAGGTTTCCTGTGCTAAAGATTTTATAGGATGCTGGAATTCAATGGCAAAGAGATCAAAATGAGGTGTTCCCATTTTCCCAGGGCCAGCTACAGAGGTGAGGACTCATTCCTGTGGCCTTCTGAGATATATTGTCCTTGACTGACCAGAGCCTCTTTGTCCAGAATGCCTGGGAGGCTAGAAACCATCCCCCATGCCCTGTGCCCATAATGATACAGAGGTAGAAAATGGTGCTGTCCCCTGCAACTTCAAAGGGGGATAAGTCTGCTGAGTGACTTATGCTCTTTGATGTTCCCCCTCTTCTTTCCACCACATAGAACAGATCAAGGCTAGGTGTGACCTGACAGCAGACTCCTGCACAGCCTTTCCTTTCCTATCTTGCTTCTCTCACTGCTCTTCTCCCGAGAGCAAGCCTTCAATAAATCACATGCACTGCATCTCATGCAGGGAGGAAGGAATGGAGAAATGTTTGTGAAGTCCCTGGGCATTGCAGGTGCTCATTAATGCTCATGAGCTTCCCCGCCCCAAACTAAGGATATGATCATTTGTTAATACTACTATCTGTAAAAGATGTTCGTTGCAATATTATTTTTTAAAAGAATAAAAAACTGGCTGGGTGCAGTGGTGCACACCTGCAATCCCAGCAGCTCAGGAGGCTGAGATAGGAGAATCACAAGTTCAAAGCCAGACTCAGCAACTGCGAGGTGCTAAGAAACTCAGCGAGACCCTGTCTCTAAATAAAATACAAAATAGGGCTGGGGATGTGGCTCAGTGGTCCAGTGCCCCTGAATTCAATCCCCAGTACCAAAAAAAAAAGAATAAAAAAACTGAAAATCATTTAAATACCTAGTAAGAGGAATTTGTAGATTATCCATTTGGTAAAATATTATGCGGTCTACAAGCTAATAAAAAACTGGAAATAATCTATCTATGCAATAAGAGAAATTTGTAGGTGATGCTTAGTATATCTATATGGTAGAATATTATTCAGTCTCCAAGCCAATGAAAAAAACATGTGGCAGAATGAATTGAAATATATGTAGTGTGACTTGCAGTTTTAATCTTCTGCAGGTCCTCTGAGAACCTGCAATATAATCTAAGACAAGTGAAGGGGAGCACAGCAAGAGTCAAGTGGTTACTTAATTCATAAAATAATACTCCAAGTCCTACATATTGGCAGAAGCCAGCTCTGAATTTTCTAGCAACTGGTAAGAGAGAATGGAGCCTGATAAGTCACAAAACTGTTTTCAGAGGTAAAGACAAACACAATGCCCAAGAAAGGCAGAGGTCTCTCTAAGCCTGAGAAAGAAGAGAAATTTCTCCCATACGTCCTGAGTAAGAGGAAACCATGTAATTTAATGACCCAGGCACCAGAGACGAGCTTCACAGGTCTGGTCCCCTGAGTAAACCCCTCCCCCTCAGCTGCCCTCCCACCCCACACAGGGAGATGGCATCAGGGAACATGCAATTAGGAGTGGTCAGAGATGCCGGAACCGACAGCTTACTTGGTTCTCTCTTGACTGGGTTTAACTCAGGATAATGTTTAGGGTGGAGATGGTGGATGGAATCCATGCCCTTCCCACAGTCCTTGATTGCTTTTTTGGCCTCCTCTAATCCAGAAGCTGCTGAGAGCTATTAAGCAGCAGGGATTTGAGGTGACTTCTTGGGAAGTTCTTGGAGTACCTCCATTATGGGTGGCTCCGGGAGCTTCACTTGCCCTCTAAGCCGAGTAAGTTTGGCACAGTCCTGTCAAAACCTTTGAGCCTGGCAGGGTAGGTGCCTGAACAGAAGGCTGCCCACGTGCTCAAAGGTGCACCTATGGGCACAAATGGGCTCGCTCAGGGGCTAGGAGGTTTTCCTTAGAAAGCGATTTGGGTTCTATTTTAGCACAGAACCCAGGGCAGCCCAGTTCAATGCTGCACATTTTTTGAAAAGCTGCAAAAATTCCCATTTGAACAGCTGTCAACAGAGCAACTGGACAGAGTGGTCAGCCTGGGTCACTCCCTGCTCCTGCTGAGGAGCCTGTGCCTCTTCCTCTACAAAGACAGTGCCTTGAGGGGGTTCCCTGGGAGAGAAGAAGTATCCATTCCTTTTTTTTTTTTTTTTCTTGAGTCACACTACATATATTTCAATTCATTCAAGTAAATTAACCCACTCTATCAACCCTCACCTAATTCATGGACACAAGTTCATTCCCTCAATATCCTCAAATACAGCAGGAAAAATAAATATGTCAAAGTATACGCTGATAGAAATGACGAATAGAAAACATCAAGAACATTGGTGATAACAAGCACGATCAGCAGTGATCTGTCCTTATTTCTTAAGTTTCACAACAATATTGCTTAAAACTGGAATTTTTTAGAATGCACACGAGCTGGCAACGGTGACTATAGCATCTCAGAGAAGGGGCAGAGATTAGCCATATGGGAGGGTCCACAAGAGAAAAGGGATGGGAGACAACGTAAGATACAGACACTTCTCCAAGGTATTTACAGCTGCTTCTTCAGTTATACCAACAAATTCTCTAGGGTCGGGATGGAAAAATTTCTAATAATTCCAAATAATGCTCTTTGTGAACGAATGGTCCTTGTAGAATCATTGTGTGGTCCAAGCTATGAAGAAAGTCAGTGAGTGCACTGACTTTCTTTTGGGGTTGGCCCCCTTACCTTCTGCCACATGTTGATGAAGAAGAGCTCCCGGGACACATTGAAGGACACGTTGGCATCATAGGCATCGTCCCCAAGGTTGGAGATGGAGATGTTTAGGGAGATATTCTTCACAGCTCCCAAAGCTAGATATGGGGTTTTCTCATCAATACTACAATGAAAAACAAACAAACAGCAATTAGTACTCTGAAGCTTACATTAATATAACCTAAGACATCAGGGGATAGTTGAGTGCAGGGATCAAAAACTGGGATCAGAACTACAAGTGCCAGGTAGCTCGTTAACCAGCCATGTGTCCTTAGGGAATCAGGGGCCCCAGCCCCCTCACCTAAAACACTGCCTCACTCACTCACTAGACTCCTACGTGGGCCATAGGAAATCTTAAGATATCAAACTTGGAAAACTATAACACATTTAATAACCTATACATGGAATTAATTCATATAGTTATTTGGGGTATTTACTATGTTCTGGTCACTATGCTACATGCTAGGGAGACAGCAGCGAACCAGAGTTCTTATAGCTTCAGGAAACACAGAAGGAAGCAAACATAAATACTAGATCAGAGAAACTTAGTGTAAGGAAGATAGAAACTGCCAGGTTTGGAGGGGGAGCGGGTTGCAGTTTTAAACAAAATGGTCAAGGAAGCCTTCATCATGAGGTCACCTCTCAAACCTGGAAGAAGAAAGGGAGCAAGGCAGGCAGAAATTCAGGGCCTACCAAAGGAAAAGTCCTTAGGGTGTGTTCAGGAAACAGAAAGGAAGCCAGTGTGGCTGGAGAGGAGTGTGCGAGCAGCAGAGTGGGAGGAAATGAGCTTAGGGGGTGTTATGGTTTAGATGTGAGGTGCCCCCCCCCCCACCGCAAAAGCTCACATGTGAGACAGTGCAAGAGGGTTCAGAGGAGAAATGGGTTGTACGAGTCTTGACCCAATCAGTGAATTAATCCCCTGATAGGGATTAACTGAGTGGTAACTGAAGTGGTAGGGTGTGGCTGGAGGAGGTGGGAATTGGGGCCTGACTACGGGGTATATATTTTGTATCTCGAGAATGAAGACTTCTGTCACTCTGCTTTCTGGTGCCCATGATGTGAGCTGCTTCCCTCTGCCACACTCTTCCTCAGCCTCACCTTGAGCCCTGAGGAATGGAGCTGGCCTTCTATGGACTATGGCCTCTGAAACCCTGAGCCCTCAGATACACATTTCCTCCTCTATAATCGTGTTGGTTGGGTTCTTTAGTCACAGAAGCTAAAAAGCTCACTAAAACAGGAGATGAAGGCAGTGGAGTCCATGGGTCCTGCAGGGCCTTTCAGGCCACCATCAGGACCTTGGTTGAACTGTGCTAGAGATGCGAGGACCTGCCGGGCTCTGAGCCCAGGGGCACCACCACTTGGCATCCACGAGGAGATAATATTGTGCACATGTGGAGTGGTCAGGGGAGAATCAGGGTGCCCAGCAAGGAGGCTCCTGCAATAATCCAGGCATGAGCAGATGATCGGGCGCTCAAACCAGGACGGGGCAGCCGAGGTCGCAGGGAGAGGTCATGTTCTGAAGATGCTTCAAAGGTCACCCAGCAGATTCTTCTCATGGATTGGATGAGGGGTGTTCAGAAGACAGAAGTCTAGAAGGGCTCCAGGTTCAACAATCAGAAAAGAAGGGCTGTCGTTCAGTGAGAAGGGAAAGACTACGGTAAAGAAGATTGAGCAGAGAAAACCCAAATAAATGCCTTTTGGATTTTAAAGGAACTACGGAGGCAGTTGGATGCAAGATTCTGGAGTTCAAGGCGGCCTCTGGGCTGGAGATCCACCTCGGTAAGGACCAGATAGGACACCAGGGAACAAGTGTAGGTAAATAAGAGGTGTCACAGTAGCTGAAGACAAGCAGCAGCCAGCAAAGGAGACTGAGAGAAGCCAGGGGGAAAACCATGGAAAATGGCTTCCGGGGACCACAGGAGACACGTTCCAAGGAAGGAGTGGTCAATTCTGTCACACGTGGCAATAGGCTGAAATTATCTGAAGAATCGGAACTGGCCACTGGAATTAGCTATCTCGAGGTCACTGATATAAAGTGCCTAAGTGGAGTCATAGGGCGGGGAGTCTGACTGGAGTGAGTTTAAGACAAGGAGGAAGAGAATAAGTGGGAACAGTGAGTACAGATGACTATTTAAAGGTTTCTCCCCCTCTGTAAAGAGGAACAGAGAAATCGAATGGTGGCGGTGGGCGGAAGTCAGCTCCTGGGAGATAGTTATTTTCTAAAGGGGGAATTATCATTGTATATTTGCAAGCTAATGGGAAGGATCCACCAGAGAGGGAACAAATTAATAAAGATGGGATGGGGGACAGTTGCTGGTGGGGGCCTGGAGAACAAATGGAAAGGCTGGTGGGAGGTAAGGAAGTGGCGCTTATGGGCAGCTGCAGATGGGTGGGTAGAAGTGGTGGGAACATGTGGCTTCCTTCTTGATTGCTTCCACTTTGGGTGAAACAGAAGCAGAATTAAGAAGGGGGAGAGAGGGGAAGAGGGTGGACATTTGAGGGGCAATGAAATGGAAGAATCACTCAGGAGAGCAGGGGAATGAACAGGCTAAGGGTAATCACGGGGAAGAGGATGGGCGCATGGGACTGAAGATTACTATGTGATGTGAGATTTGGAGAAAATAAACTCATGTCAGCAGCCAGTCTCTAACTGGGGACCAGTTAATGAGAGCTGTAGTGAAGCATTAAGAGGGTTGATGTAAAGTCATTATTTTCAGCCACTCAGTCTCCTGATCTCTTCCTGGTTTGGGGGACTCGAGATAGATGGGAGGGGTACATCAACAGAAAGGAGGCAGACCCTCCCCTCCTGTCCTTGTGAGTGCTATGCTGTGGGCACCTAAGTGCAGTCATGTGACCTAAGGATGGTCAGTGGCCCTAAGATGCTGACAGATGCTCCCACACAGGGCTATGGATTTTGAGTGCTGAGCAAAGACATGGGGACCTTATGAGATCCTCTGAAGTGGCTGCTTGAAGGTCGAGTGTTTCCCAGCTTCCTGCCCGAGTTGGTTCTCTGGCTTTCCGGCCTCTGCTCTGAACTAGCCTACGTCTTTCCAATAAATTCCTTTTCTGCTTAACTTAACCAGCATGTGTTTTCGTTGTTTGCAATCATTAATACAGCTAATACAGCATGAAAGAAAACTATTTGGACTCTCAATAGGCTATGATAATTTGAACTACACATTTTGGGTGCAAGGAATCATCATTTCCCATCCATGGAAAGAGGACCTTGCTCTCCTGCCTGTCTGGCACGTCAACAAGAATAATATGTGCAATGAGCAATCTGATGGCCTTGCTGTGGAAGCAAGAGCTCGGAGGATCCAAACAAGATGTGAAACATTAACTCAAAGAAGAGTTTCAAATTCTTGAACGGCCTCCAATAAATTAAGACCCTGACCTCAAGCTATTGTGGCAATTATTTATTATTGTTGGCCATTTTAGTTTTAAACAATTGATGGGTTATTTCTGTCCTCCTGTTTGCTTTTGTAAGATTAAAGGAGTAATTGCCAGACCTTGAGTTAGAAGAGAGAGCTAACCCAGGTTTATCTGGAGAAGGAATTGCATGTACGCTCATGATTAGCCAGTCTCTACAGAGTGACCATAGTCTGTATGGCAGAGGAAGCAGAGAGATGATATTAGATGAGCAGAGGACCACTGGGTGGGGGCCACAGTCTCCTTTCACAGCTGTTGTTCACATGACCAGTCACTTTCTATCATGTCCAAATGTCAAGGGCTCAGGCCAGGGATGGCTCAACCTCCACCAATCTCTCACACTTGGGCCTCAGTCACTTAGTCATACGGCAAGGTCATTCCTGGGGGGTTTCATAGTCAAATGATTCAAACGTGGCTCTGTGATGAAGAGCATCCAGGGCAGAATGGGAACTCTGTTTTAAAAGAAGCCTCCACATTGTTTTCATTCTTTCTCCAAAGCTAAAACTCCATGACCAAAACAGTACATTTCTGCTTCCAGAGTTATTCTCAGAAATGAAATGAAAATGTAACCTGCCAGCATGGTGCTGGGTACTATCAAACGCGTCACCCTTTGGAAACCTCACAGTAACTGTCAAAAGGACCTGACATGGGTCCCGTTTTTTAGAGATGAGGAAATCATGAAGCAGAGAGACAAGGCAACTGGCCAAGGGGTTCTTCTGGCCAAGAACCCAGTGGCTCCCATGCCTTCAAAGCCTGTTCTTCTCCAGGTCCCCTCCATGGTCCCCACATTCCCACCTTGCTTCTCACGACCTCAGGAAGCCCTTCCCGACTCCCTGTTGGATGAAATCAACCTGTCCTGAGCTCCCCACCTGTGCGCCCCCATCAGCCCTTCATGCGCTTACTGAGGTTGTGGGCATACGTTTACTTGTGTGGCTCTTTGATTAAGGGCCGTCTGTCCTCACACTGGAACACCAGGGAGCGGGGACCTTTGTCTGGTTTTGCTCCTCACTAGACTCTCAGAGACAGAAATGTGGCACCAAAATTCTCAGGGAATAAAATTCCTTGAGAATCTGAAAGATTTTTTTTTCCATAAATAAATAAGCCTCCGTGAAATGTTCGGCAGGAAACCTCTGAGCCTGATCATTTTAGTCTTTCAGCAGGACTGCTAAAGAGGTTGGTCTCTCATGTGGGTGTCTAAAGAACTCTAGTTGCACCAATGAATGAAAGTCTGTGACGTCCCCACAACATATCAGCTCCACCTTCCCATTTCTCAGAGAGAGGGGACCCCACTCAATGGAGGTCACGCAGCCACTCAGGGCATGAGCTGAAGCCAGCACCAAACTTCTTTAGACATGAAGGCCATTCCAGCTATGGCTCATACATAGATGCTAAGTCAGGAAGGGCTTCGACAAGAATGTTCTTTTAATGACATCTGAAAAGAACAGGATTCCACAAGGACCAGCCTCTCTGACAGCCCTGCCAAAAGATTAATATGATCAGACACAGGGGTTTCCTGCCCAACATTCCACGGGTGCCGATTTATTTATTCAAGAACAATCTTTCTGATTCTCAAGGAATTTTATTCTCTGATACATTTTACCATTTAATTCTAATTTGTGCAGCCTTCTTCATGGGTCATATTACTTTATATCTAGATATCGTTGGTGTATTTTTATATGGAAAGCATCATTAGTA